GTGACGTTGTAGCTTGTTGATTAATTTGATATAATCCTGTAAATCGTCTTCAATTTCGTCTTTACCTTTTTGGCAGGGATGTTATTCTGGTATAGCTGCATTTATTCCCAGATTGATTGTAGTAACTATTGAATCAATATATTGTATTACATTATGCATTTCATTTTCATTTTCTTTGATTTGCCTTCAGTTAATTATAGGTGCATTCCATTTCTTTCCTATTCCATATATGTGTACACTTCCCCAATGTTGCCATTCGAATCTATACCACCAATCTTCTAAGTTCCATCGTGGTTTTAGCACATTGTGAAAGAAATTCTCAAAATGACTATTAAAGAACCAGGCAGCTATATGTGGATTGTCAACAATGTTCTGATGACGCTATTTATTTAAATCGGACTCTACTTCATTATTTGGCATTAGGTGATGGAGTTCAGGCCAATGCATATCAGCTGCACTAAAGGTAAAAAATAACAGACCTTGATGGCCTATTTGCTTGATCATATCTGACAATTCATAACGTCAGGCCATTCAAAACTGTCGTGACCCACGTAACCCTTCCCCATATCTCATAATCCTGTCTGCTAATTGTTTATCACCATTACTAATCATTTCCTAAATATCTGTAACATCAAGCTGCCTATTATTTAAGTGCTATTTAACATACACTTTTCCTTCTTGTAATGCTCTCTATCTTATTGTAGAGTTTAGTACAAAATACCTCCAGCGTGTATGTCGGGTAAATCTTCCGTCTTTATACCAAATTAAATGCTTAAAATACTCAGCTGGCTTAATATCCCAAACACGTTCTGAACAAAGATCACCACGACTATATGGATAAAGTGTTGGAAATGCTCTTACCATATAACCGGATGTTTGAAATTCGTTTATAAGAATGCCATCAATCTCTGGCCACAATAAAGGAGGATTATTACTTTGCATACGGTCAAGTGTATTATTAATAGCAATATCTTCACGACGTATTGAAGGAAGTGATGGTGCAAATGAACATGAAATTGGTTCATTTTCATTTTCTTCATCACTAGAGGTCTCATTTATTATTTCATCTTGAATCTGTTGAAGCTGGCTAATAATAGATCCATTTTTAGATAAGGATCGAAGAATTTCATTATCAATAATTATATCTCTGTAGTAATTGTTGTTTGCTTTTAACCATAATAGTGCATTAGCAACTTTATCACAACGTACATTGAAATCTCTGAAAGCTATTGAATCATTTGTCGATTGTCGCTATACTACAAGTATATCTAATGATGATGGATGTCGTGAAAGGCAGTTTGTAAATTCTTGTATATCTTGAGGGAAATTTATGACATTTCCTCTGTATCCATTTTGTTCTCCTCGAAGTCGATATACTGACATTATTGTAAATACTTGTGCAATTAGCATTTCTTCGATCTCTGTAAGCCCTTTGAGTTCTTCCAGCATATCACCAGGGTCTATATTATTTTCTGCAGAAAATTTCTTTGGTGATTTCTTTTCCGTAAAATAACGACGACACATATCTCTAGAAAGGATCATCGATGGAATTTGTTCATTACATACAGAACAAGAATTATATTGAATATTATCCATTTTTTTGCGAAAATTCTGCAAAATATGATGTTCATCCTCACTAATGATTGTGGCTGAAAGTCTATCATACATAGTTAAGTTTCTACTGTGAATACGCATATCATATTTGTGTTCATTTTCACGATTAAGACGTATCTCACGTTCCTTGGTGTTTTCTATTAAACTCTTTTTCTTTCTTCGTTCACGCATGCTTGCAAGTCGTATTTCACGTTCTTCCAAAGATTCATTTTCTCTTCTTTGTCATTTTTGTTCACGTTCATGTGCAAGGCGTGCATCACGTTGTTCAAGTGTTTCATTTATTTTTTTATTACGTTTTCGAAGGGTCTCAGGATTAATAGTTTGATCGTTCATTTTGTAATATCAGTTGAAATACAACTTTTATTGAAGAAAAACACTGCTTATATATATCTCATTTGAATATTGAATTCTAAAAACATTTATTTATTATAATTAAACTTATTTACATAATTAATATACTGTAAAAATAACCAAATTGCTTCTTAATAATTAAAATATGAATTACCAAATTAATCGGATTTAAATAAAATAATTAAACACAAGTTACCAAATCGGGTATTAGATAATTAAAATAAAATTATCAAATTTGGTATTAGATAGTTAAAATAAAAATTACTAATCGGATATTAAATAATTAAATACAATTATTATTTTAGCCAAAAAATTTTTTAATAATTATAATGATTATATACATATTTAATTAGGAGTTTATAACAAATTATATTTTATTTACAAATTCTATTTATAGTAATATTATAATTAGCAATATTAAATCAGTTAAAAAATATAATAATTTTTAATAAATTGTAAAAAAGCTCTGGACTTGTAACGGTTTCCGTTCCCTAGTATAAATAATTATAAAGATACTTTATATATATTACAGTTTATTGCAATTATACATGATTTAATGATAAATATTCAAAAAATTTTGCAAAAAAAATAAATAAGTCAGAATTAGTTGTATATATATATATGTATTATATATACTGTATATAAAGAAAAAAAAAATATTACTAATTAAAAAAAACTATAATATTAATTATTATAATACTTTTCACAGAGAAAAATTCATGTAATTTTATCAGAACAGAATATAGATAAATATATAATTAGCCTAGCTAGAGAAATATATAAGTATATTAAAAGATATTTAAAAGAAAATTCTGATAAAATTCTTGTTCGTCTTAAAATAATATTCATTGAGAAATATATATAATATTAAGCTTTTGAAGAATCCTACATCCTAACTTTCAAAAAATTTGTAAATACTAAATGTATAATCAGTTTAGATAATTATGTATTTATAGATTATAACAATAAACTATTTAAAAAATGCATTAGAAGCATATTTTGCTTATCAAAATGGGAATAAAAAATAACTTGAGTGAATCTTTTGAGCAAAAATGTTTAAACATTATTTAGATATCAAATTAAATAGAATTTAATAACTATTTTAGCCTTTTAACGTATATTTAATAAGATTAGAAAATAGATTTCATATTATCTATCTTATGATTCTTACAGATATTATAAAATTAAAGAAAGATAAGTATGAGTAAAAGAATCACTTTTTCTGAATTAAAAGTACTAGTAAATTAATATATAAGAACAGTATTCATAAAAAAAATTAGCATTTATGTAATAGATGTTTCTATAATTAGCTTTCAGAAAAATCTTTAGAATATCATATTAGATAGTGTCCTGAAATAAGTAAAGCTTTTTCAATATATTATAATATTTATAAAAGCATTAATAACATTAAAGAGTTTGAGAACTATAGATAAATTATCAATGTTTTAATAATATGTATATATTTATATAACATCTATAGATTATTTATTATTTACATAAATAAAAAACAGATTATAAAAAAATATATTTTTAATTAGGATTAAAAAATATATAAAAATTCAGTATTTATAAAAGTAAAAATCAGAAATAAATGGTAAATTAGTTTTTTTGTATAAAATATATTAAATTTAAGAACATTTTTATTTTTAATAAAACTTTTTAAATATAAATCAGAAATTCATAAAAAAAAATTGTTTCAAGAAAAAAAAGTATAATTTAACATGATTTTAATTATTAATAAAATGAAAATTATGAAATAATAACAATTTAAAAAATATAAATTATAAGTTTTTACAAAAATGATGTATATTTACAAAAAATTTAAAATTTAAAAAAATTTTTTTATAAACACATTTTCTTATAATCACATTTTTTAATAATTTAAGTTTATAATTATAAGAAAAAACTATTATATAAGTTTAATTATAAATGAAAAATAAAATTTAATAAATTTTTTTTTAACAATTATATAATAAATTGCTTAGTAATGAAAAATTTTAAATTCATAATAAATATTTTGCTTATCAGAATTAAAATAATTTGTTTGATTTAATAAATTTTAAAATTTTTATCTGACCTCTATATTTATTATTTGAATTCTTACAAAGTTATCATTAGCCTCTTTTAATATAATAATAATTAGTTATTAAATATATTTCTTTAGTTAGGTGATGATAATGTATCAAATAGTAAGCTTGATAAGCAGTTAATTTAATAAAAATTAGTTCTTTTAATTTTGATTAATAATCAGCATTTTTATGTTTTTACTATTATTGTACCTAAGGTCTTACCTATTCTTACCTATCTACTTAAAGGGTAAAATGCAACTTAACTATTTATACTAACTCATTTAATAAAATTTTTTGTAATCTGAAAGTATTGCTATTTTCACACTTAATGTCATTTTTCAAACCTTTGAAAATTTTAAATCCAATTCTGTATGTGTATTAATCCAAGTCTTTTTTCAAAACGGAAACTGTTTGCAAATGATTGACCTAATAAATATTTTATCAATAAAAATAAGTAAAAAAAAAAAACACTTTGGACGAATAAAACGTATAATACAGTAATACTAAAAATTAAATACAAACAATTTCACAAGATCCGCGTAAAATACAAATCACGTGGGGATGAAAAAGTGTTGGGAACATGTTACTTTACATATGATATGTCATATGATAGATATTCTTTGAATTGCTAAATTTAGAAATGAATAGTTAGAATCAGCATGTAACATGATATCCATAATATCGGAAATATATTACATGCGAATTAACTAATGAACGTTAGTTGTGCAAAAATATATGAACAAATTATAAATTAATATACTTGCTTAGTCACGAGGTATGACATTTGTTTATCTTATGATAGCTTCGCAGGTGATTACCAATATATATCCAAACCTTTATATAATTGATGCGCCAATATGTTAATTTTTATTTTACATAATTACTTATAATTAACAGTGGATTAAAAAAAAGAAAATATATATTTATAATTAATTACAAATTACGAAGAAAGAAAAACAAATATATCTACAAAGATTTCTTCTGTGCCCAAAATCGATAACTTTTGTCATAACCCTTATTTCTTGCAATTTCTTTAATTGCAACTTCAACTAATTTGTTATATTGTCCTTCATTAAATTGAATGTCTGATACGGCGTTTGATAAATTTTTTGCTCCCCACATAATCAATTGCCCGTAAGCTTCATACATTTTTTCACCCCAACCAATTTTTGCTTTCCTTTTATCATATTCAATATTAGTCAGCTGATTATTTGAATGTAAGAATCCAGGAATATGTGGAGATATAATAAGTTCAATTCCTTTTTCTTGACGTATTTTATCAACAACTAATAAAAAAAAAAAAATTCAGTTTTATAAGTTTATGATATCTATAGAAAATGAATTTAAACGTCAAAAAATATATTACTTACTACTTGTTCGCCATTTACGAACCAAATCCGATTCATTATGCCAAAGAATGTCCCTTTCCATTATTTCAATCCAGCCATTTGGCTTACATACTCGAATCAATTCTTTTATTGCTTCAGGCCAATCACTTATCGTAAGCGCAAACATTATTAATCGCATATAAACGAAATCAAAGGAATTATCTTCAAAAGGTAACCTTTTAAGATTTCCCACAATGAAATTAGTATTTTCAGGCTTTATCGTTTGAGGAAAAGTAGCGACTATATCTATTCCGGTGAATGAACTTTTTGGATACTTGTTAGCCATCTCTAAACTCCAAACACCAGGACCGCACCTAGATAAAAGACGCAAAAATTTATTAATCGGGAATAATTGGCGGATTTTTGTCAAAATTTCACGATCTCAAAGGCATACCCGACATCCAAAACTTTGGAACCAATTTCCAATAGAAAATCAACAGGGGAAGAAAAATTACTTTTCCATATATTTTGAAAAATATAATGTTGTAAAGTTAACCGATCAATCTCATCATCGTCCAAAGGGAGTACATAAGATGCACAGTATTTTCTTTTATCAATATAATTATATATTTCAACATCACGTTTTTTATGAATAATTTCTTGATCAATGGAAGTAGTAGATGCCGAACTTTTGCTTCTCTTTTGTCGACCAGTTTTTGATTGAACTTTACCCATTTCAATTTACGTTGGAAAAAAAAAAGTGAAAATGAAAGATGAAATCGTTTACATTTTATAAAATTTTTTAACACCGGATGATCATCTACTAAAAAAGTTCACAATTTATATACTACAGGAATAATTTAAGCAAAATGGAATATATTTAGGTAAGATTTTTTATGGAGAAAACTAATATGTCCTTTAAAGTAAAATGATTCACATCGAAAATATCATTGATGAAATTCACTAATTTTCTTACTTATGCAATGAAAATCTTTGTTGATGATCTTATCAAATGTATACTTGTTGAAAGTTTCTTTCTATTAGCTCAATTTTTTTCACACAGCATGTGAATCTCATTCTCCAAGTTCGATAAATTTCCCATACCCTTAAAAACGATTATCATTGAGGTGAAATAACTTATTTTCCTTACCAAATTCGTAAGGTAAGCAAAATGTAAGCATTTTTGTAATTTGTGGGGTGGGATAAGCAAATAAATTACACAATGTTTATTAATTAAATTTTTTTTTTTCATGTAAATCATAATATTTGTGATTATATAAAAATTTAGATAATCTCTTTTCGTACATATGTAAATATTTGTGGTCAAAGAACTATAAATAAAACGGTTTTCGCATCGTAAAATATTGATTTTTTCATTCTACCCATCTTTATTTTTATTTGATCTTTCTTTCTTTCTCCCTTTAATTTAATAAAATTTCAAATTTTACAATCAAGATTATAACAATGCATTTCGAAAAACGTATCAATTATATAGAAGAATACAAATATCATGAAAAAGAATTTGATGATATAAGTTTACAACATAATATATTAAGTTATATTTGGCAAGGAGACTATTCATCGAGGATTCAAGAGAGGTTGATTAAAGGGAATACAAAAGTTATTGATTTAGGATGCGGGACAGGCCAATGGTTAATTGACATGTCTTTAAAATACCCTCTTTCAACATTTATTGGTATCGATATTTCTTCAAGATTATTTCCATCACAGGAAGATAAACCAAATAATGTAGCATTTTTACAATATGATCTTTTAGAACATCCTGGTATTCCTTTCCCAAATGAGACATTTGATTTCGTTTATTTGAGATGTTTATCAATGACATTTGAAGAAAATGATTGGGCTCATGTTATAAATGAAATTGTTAGAGTAACTGATATAAATGGATGTGTTGAATTTATGGATTTCCTTTGTGAAGGAGGTTTTAAAGGACCTATAATGGAGAAGTTATGTTCTTCATGTAAGTTCTTTTTCATTAGAAGGATGTCAACTTATTTTTCTTTTTTTAATATCTTTCTAATATCCTTTTAAAATATATTATCGTAGTGATAAGTTTCCTTGAGAGTAAAAATATTAAACCGCCCTCAACAACCAAATTAACGGAATATTTAAATCAAACAAATCAAATTTCCAACTTACACCTTGAAGTAAAATCATCTCCGCTAGGTTCGTGGGGAGGTAAATTAGGGGAACTTGTAAGTGTTTTATAATTACATTTTTAAAAGCTTTCTTTTCCAAATATTAATATTCAAATTTTTTTTTTTAGATGTTATCAGATTATATAACAACATTTCAAAGATTCAAATCAATTTTAGTGTCATTTATGAAATTATCAGAAAAGGAATATGATAAATTATTGAGTGAATTAGAAAACGAATGTGTTAAATATCAACTATGTTGTTATACTTATAGGTTATATGGTAACAAAACCGTGTAAATCTGGGATAAATATTGAATTTCTGGCTCAAATTACCGGCCTATTTTTATGATGCCTGGCCAGCATTAATTTACTTCGGGTGTATTTTTTATCTTACATAATTACAGTTACATAATTACAGTTTTATTGTATTATTAATTTAGATAATATTTAATAAATAAAAAACAAACTATAAATAACTAATGAATTTCTGTAACATTCTTATAAATTCCAAAATAATGGAAAAATTAAACGGTAACACCCGTGCAATTGCGAATGCATAGTGCCACCGTTTAAATTTATCCTTAATAATAATATGCAATGAAAAAGGGGAAACTGCCGGAAAAAATCAATTTATTTTAAATATGATTTTAGGTTCAGGATTTAGCATCAACTCATTTTTTATTTTTCTGGTAGTTTCCCCCTTTTCTATTACAAAGGTTCATATGTTAAAAATTATATCATATATATATGTATGTATATATCGGTTAACTGTAATTGGAAATTCCGATTTATCAACTTTTGTGTAACCGTGGTGTCTGAAATTTCAGATATAACGATAAGATAGGGTTTCCGTTCGAAATTTAAATATCATTTCGAAAAAATTCAACCGATCGAAATTGATGTTTTTTTTGATATTAAAAATATTATAAGTTTTAGTTTTTTAAAGATCCTTAAAAATCTATTATTAAAATTTTTTTTTTTTTTAAAAAAAAAAAATATAAAATTATTTAAATTAATTAAAAAAAAAATAATTTAATGACTTTAGTTAATTAATGTTATTATTTATTTATATAATTGCTCTTTATTACATATAGAACAGATTTGCGTATCATAGATACAAAAACGAAGTTCTAGACACGAAGTATTTAAATATTCGAATATTTAATAAAGTTCATGTTGCCAAAAAAACCACGTGCGCGTTCTTTTTCGGAACACTGACCATGTTTTCCGAGAGATGATTGATTTTTATATCATATTTTATTTTTAAAGCAAATATATTTGATGATTACAAGAATGAAAAACAATATCTTTCTAGCCCAATATGATTATTAATACATATATTAATGACGCTTTTTTTGGTTCTTATTCTTGCCTTTTTTTTTACTTTTTTTCTTTTTACTTACGGGGTGAGAATTACATTCTTCTGGCGAATCCAAATCTAAAAGGAAAGAAATTAGTTATATTTAGACAAAGAACAAGCAAAATATGTTTAAATACCAGATAGCTCCGTCTAATGAGACGCCCCATGGCACTGTTTTCTCTGGTTTCTCTGATACTGCATTAAAAAAAACCATAATTTATCAGTCATAGCGTCCCATCTGAATACACGTTCATAGCAGTCCAGAAAAAGTAAGTCACAGTAACAACTCCCAATAATAATTATATGATTGAAACCGCATTGTGCAATATCCATTATGTCACTATAAATATAATCTTTTTGAAGATCACCGCTTCGTATCTCTATATTAAGAGATTTTGCAATACGACAACGGTCTGGATCATTTCGACTACCAAGGTTGGATTATTGCCAGATGAGTCGAATCTATTATCGTACGACAAAGGGGACATGGAGGCTTCAATTCTCCATTTAGGCGTACTATCCGGGAGTACAAAGTAGCACGATGTTTTCGGGTAGTCTTCTTTCCATGAAGAACCCTCCAGGGTACCGACTCTGAACAATGGTCTCAGGATTGTGAGTAACCTTCCAATTTTTTCTCTGTTTGGACATTTAAATACATTTTTTTCATCAATTTTACTCTCTCTTTCGCTGCTAGTTCGTTCGTTTTGTATGCCTAAGTTTTCCCTTCTTTCGTTTCTCCGCTCTTTCCACGAATTGATACCCCGAAAAAGTAATTCTTGACGTTCCCCTTCCGAGCGGAGAATGTGAGATTTACCGTGGTTGGAAGAGTTTTCTCCTCCCCCATTTTCAGTAATTTGCCCACAAGGACCAACTGCATTTTCTCCAGATGTGCGACTTGGTTTTCGAATTTCTTCATTGGAGAATTCACCTTGTAATTGCATTTGACTTTTGGAGGTCGACTTTGCTGTGCGTTCCAAAGAAGGGCTACTGCAAAGAGACGAAATTCATTTCACTGTGCCTTATAGTATGCATATAAATGCTGGACCGGAAAATCGGGTTAGTTTAAAGCTACTGAATTCGTGTAACAATAATAATTGAAGTTTGAGATCATGACTCGTTGGATCACATCCCACTTTTAACATATCAGGTGATAAGCTTCACGCAAGCGATAAATACGAATATGAGGTTTGCTAAAAGCAAACAGAATAACGCTAAACATGATGAAGTTTTATATTTGTGCTAATGTGGCATAATCAATATGAACATATTTTTAATAAATTCCTTAATTTTTCGTATCCTTACTGGAATAACGATTTCTGGGTTTTTTGATCATACCATACTTCGAGAAGGAAAAAAAATTCCATTATCTTGACATATGTATCTTTTTTGCCGATCACGATTAACAATGACCTCAAATTTTTTAACGTTTTTATACCAGCTGGTGATGCTGGGCCCCTTGCACCTCTAATACAATTTGATATTTTTGGAAGAAGTCATCCATTCAAGAAAGGAGGGCGATATTCAATTATTGGCTCCTCATTAAGAAATTTCTTAGCTATCTGGATGCATCTAGTCTGGAATTTGCGATTTTTTTAGATTCTGATTTCTTTGTATATTCTTTTATAATTGGTTTATGTTTGAATTCTTAGTCTCAAGCTTATGGATTACAATCTCAATATACTCAAAAAGGATTGGATATTGCAAACCAGTTTTAAGTATTACTATATCCGTCTCATTTTTAACATATTCTTCACACCAGCCAGCTTAGCACTTCTCAGCAGTCTCAGGCTTAAGCTTGATATACTTGACATTCTTAGCCTTAAGTTTGGCATACTTAGCTTCAACCTTAGCTTTTTAAATCAAAAGCTTAACTTTTTTTTGCTCTGATGAATTGATTACAGGCTGCATTCTTGATAATACTATACTCCTCTGAAAATAAGCAACATATTTTTGCTATATTTTTAGGTATTTTGATAAAGAAATCTTTTTTTTTGAAATGGAAACGCTAAATAAATACTGAATTTTTAAAACTGTTGACGATAAATTCAATCCAATTCCTATTGCAAATCCTGTGATCATTAATCATATTAATTATCTGTTTATCATGTAAAATATGAACAAATTTTAATTCAACTAAGTACTCATTTTTTGTATAAATGCTACAATTTAATAAAAAAGAATTATTAAATGTAAGATCATAAATATTAATAAATGTAAATAAACTTCGTATTTTATTAAACAGAAAATATAAGTTATTACCTATGTAAAAGAATATAGATACAATAAAATAACAAAATACATTGATTTTAATTATAGCTTAGTAAGATGTTAGGTAGTAGCATGTTCAAACTGAATAACTAAAATAAAAAAAGTAAGCAACTTGGCTTTGAATGAAGAACCTTTTATCCTGAAGCTGAAAAAAGACATTATATTAAATTATAAAATAAAGAAAGTAAGATTTCATAGTAATCTATATAATAATATAAAATAGAATGCTAGAAATATTAAAATTTTGATAAGTCAAAAGATTTTAAAATATTTTACTGTTAGTTAACTACTTTTATGAAAAGATATAGGTTAACATTACAGTAACAAATTAGAATATTTCTAATTAAATTAAAAAAGTTTAACAATTCATTATTAATCTAAAAATTAAAAAGTTATCTGAATTAGAGAATATTTTAACATGAATAAAATATCTATTTGATTTAATATAACTAATAATTTTACTATCAATTTAAAAAAGAAAAAAACAGTTTATATTCATATAACAGAAAATAAAAGTTAGTTTACAATTGTATTTACATTCCAATAAAAAATTTGATATAAAAATTCCATAAAAATATAAAGTTTTATAACATATAATTTTTATGGAATTTCAGTATAATGTATATGTTTTTTCCTTAAGTAAAAACCTTAAACTTAATACGGAAAAGTGGGAAAAAACAGATGCAAAAATCATGGACAAAACGTATATCTTATAATACTTTAACAGATGCAAAAATCACAGATAAAACATATATCTTATAATGTTTTAACAGATGCAAAATCACGGACAAAACGTATATCTTATAATGCTTTAACGAATGCAAAAATCACGAACAAAACGTATATCTTATAATGCTTTAACAGATGCAAAAATCACGGACAAAACGTATATCTTATAATGCTTTAACAG